TTATTACGATCTCTTGCGAATATTTATTACGATCTCTTACGAGTATTTATTACGATCTCTTGCGAATATTTATTACGATCTCTTACGAGTATTTATTACGATCTCTTGCGAATATTTATTACGATCTCTTACGAGTATTTATTACGATCTCTTGCGAATATTTATTACGATCCTTTGCATACAATATTATAGCGAAATTTTCAATCGTAATAATAAAATTTTCCTAGAAATTATAAGTAAATTTATTATAAAAAATCCCATCAATTCATTTATATATATATATGACTTTCCCTTTTTATAAATAATAATAAATTTCCAATTTCTTGCGAATATAATTTAGCTATACATTTTACATTCAACTAAACGGTTACCAAGGATACGAAATACTCCGCGGCTTTATCCATTTTTCTTGTCTTAGTTGTACAGATGGACATAGCTATAAGTTTATATTTAATACATAAATGATAGATAATGCTTTATAATAGTTTATTGATTGATTTTTATATAATTAGCATTGATATGTAAGGTTTAATAGTTAAACGATAGATAAATGCTTTAAGAATTTTTATGCAATAAGTAAATGATCTGAAAAATTTGACAATTTGTTGATTAATAATATGTTTAATTAAAACGATACTTTTATATGATAAAAAAGGTTTTTCTCCTTTTTTTCTTTTTTTTGCCTTTTTAAATTAGTAATTTTACAAATTTCAAAATTACCATAAATCATTTTTGTTCAAACGAAAGTATTTATTTTGTTAATTTTTTTCAAAATCTAATCTTTGTCATTTAAATAAAACATTCTTCAAATTATTTTAATTAAATAAATTATTCAGTTATTGGTTTATATATTTATTATCCTCCTAATATTTATGTATGAATGTATATCTTATGGTAAGTAGCGGTTAATTAATAATAATAATTATAATTTTAGTTTAAACAATAGCTATTAACAAATGGCAAGCAAATACGGTGTTTTACTATTGGTACAAATTGGTATGATCTTGTTAGATCTTACATTTAATACTCTTGATATATTAATTTCAACGGATAGCACTATTCAATTGATGCTTCATTTGTAAGAATTTATCGATTAATTATTTCTGTCGTATCATTAATTTAATAAAATTTCGTTAATAAGTAATTAGTTGAAAATTTTCAGTTTTACATTAATTAGTATTAAAAAGTGTAAAACGAATAATACCAAAGAGGGAGGGAGAAAGAGAGAGAGAGAGAAAGAGAGAGAGAGAGATGAATGAAAAGTTTACAGCAATTATTCTTACAACAATTATTCAGATAAACATTTCAAATATTTCAGATAATGATATTTCAGATATTTACTTATTAACTTGCACAAATATTTCATTAGTTTTTTTTTTTTTTACCTTCCAATGATAATAACAGTATTTTGAATATTTCATCTATTTGACATTTCAGCATACAGTATTACAAAGTAATTATCGTATATTACAGTACGTTATCTTCATCATTTACACTAATAAAAACTATTATTAATCGAAAATAAATAATATTTAATAACAAATTATTGATTGATTTTTAAACATATTTGTAAATCAAAAATATAATATTACAGATTGCAAGATGCGCTAATCCTACTCAGTATTATTATCATTCTAATTGCATTTTCATCAACATTTGTCTTTCAAGCAGGCCTTATTGTTTTATTGCTTAGCAAATTTGCATCAACAATTATCTTATCCCTAATATACCTCACATTATCCATACTTCTTCATTTTTATGATATGGTAAATTTAGGAAAACCATTTTTATCTCATTCAATATTGCTTGAAAATAAGTTTTGGTTATGATTGAATTGAAGAAATTTGAATAAAAGTAAATAATAATAGAATGATCAATTTCGAATGATTAACATGAAATATCGGGTTATCAATGGTTATCATGTATGATAACAATTGATAATATGATATGCGCAAGAATAATTCTATAAATGATCATGAAATAAGATGATAAAACTGCCATAGTTTTTTAGATTTATTAGTGTAAACTTAATATAGCATAAGTTATTCCTGAAAAATGGAAATTTAAACGAAAATCATGAAAATGGAAATTCTTTTTTTTTTTTAATTTTTAACTGTAGCAAAAAAAAGTTTCTCCCTGAGGAATAAATTATAATTTTTGACCTATTTAATGGATAAAATAATAAATTAGGAGATAGAGTGAAAAATTATTTAATTTAGCATCCATTTTTTTTTTTCCGGTTGAAAAACAAATTCTTAATGTAATGTTTGTCTTACTAATTAGCATTAATTAATCGCGACATTCTGTTATTTTTTTCATTTTTTCACGTTCGGCCAAATGCATTTGCTAAAAATGCCAGCAATATTTGCATAAATTAAAATTATTTTTCAAAAAAAAATCAATTTAGTTAGTTGAAAACACGTTTTTTTTTCTCTCATTTATTTTTTTCTTTTTTTTTTTTACAGCGTCAACGTTGGCTTGTTGAAGATCAAAATAAATGGTCAACAATTACTTTTACACTTTATATTTTACAACGAACAGGTAAGTTCATATTTTATATTTTTGGTCACTTACCTTATTTATTTGTCATCATTAATAATATGGAATAAAAGTTAACTTACAATAAGGAAGATTATTTATCATACTGATAAATGATAGATGACGTTTAATAGAAGAAATCTAATGAGAGATTGGTATGAGGATGAAGAAAAAAAAAAGAAAAAGCAAGGACAATATTGACACTTTAGTTTGAGACAGAAGAAGAAAAGAGAGTAGAAATAGTAGCATATTGATTGATATGTTGACAAATGATAAAATTAAGAGTAAAAAAGATTCAATGAATTTCAATGACTGGAATTTTTGATTTAAAAACTAAATACTACTTTAATAATATGAAGAGAATTTAATTTTAATCCATCTCTTTCATTTTAGCAGCAATACTATATTATTTTACATGTAAAAGAACCATATTATTATTATCAAATCCGAAATATCATCATGATTCAGAATGGATCCGTGAACAAATACGTCAGAAAAATTAAACTGTAACGTTGAAATTATGTATAAATAAGTAAATTATTAAATTATTACGATTTCATTTTTGGTCTTTGAACAGGAAAATATTATACATTCTAAATTTAGCAACAGATTAAAAACAATTCGAAATTGTAATTTACATATATATTCATCATTAAACAATATATAATGTTAGATTATTATAATTAGTAAGAATTACAAAGTTACGCAACATTTATTAATTAAAGCTTAAGTTTTCCATAAATTTGAAACTTTTAAAATGAGCGAAAATTATCGAAACATGTACTTTTTTTGCTAATTAAGCAATTTTTTTTTTAATGTTATCATAGAAAACTTTTTCGTATCCCAAGTAAATATTCCAGAATTCGAAGATAACGAATTGCACCGCGTAATATCTCTTGTTTGCTCATTTTTTTATTGATTGGATAACTTGGAATGATTTGCCGAAGCTAAAATAAATGATTAACTTTAGCCAAATGATAACTTATTTAATCTCTCAATACAATAAAGTTATGAATGAATAAATGATTGATTGACTGATTAATTGCTTGATCGATTCACTTATTTTTTCTAATATCTTAAAATTGAAGGAAATGATAGCTAAGATTGGCAACATTTTTCTAATGATATTATATCATTCGGATAATTTAACATAAATTCATACATATTTCTTTTGATATATTTTAGAACTTTTAAATCAAAAAAAAAGGAAAAAAATTTTCTTTTTCATAAAAATTACCAACAGATAAGATAAAATTTAAAATATTACTTGCAAAAATGCATAATTTATTTGCAATTGACGATCTCGTTCTGTTCTATTCTGACACATTACCTGAAATTTTTGGATAATAAATTGTTAACAATTCACAAGAAAATTTAACATATCCGGCCAAAAAAAGAAAAAAAAAGA